AGCCAAACGGCCAATATATGTGGTTGCAAATATGAAGACTGGCATCAATTGCGATCTTGCGGTACGTGTGACTCTGTACCAGGGAAGCGGTCCTCGGTTATTGCAATTTGGTTTCGAGAAAGGACGGCCGTTCGAAGCCGTTCGACCACAGTATGCGGCGATCTATGAGGTTCCAGAAAATAGCAACTTCATAGCGTAAAATATATGACAATGATCTATGCAGAATTACCAGCGCATCGGTCCAAAATTCATCTCATAACATTGCCTGAGGAACAGCGTCAGCATCTGTTAGTATGCACTCGGTTCACCCACCGACTCGGAATGACGGCGACTGATATTTGTACGTGTTTGACAAGATCGCTATCAGTTTGCTAAGAGTCTGTTCGGCCACCATTATTTGCGCAAGTTAGAATTTGGTTCTGGCTTTGCTAATCGTCGGAGCTTGAACAAGATGTCACGCTCCGATAACGCTTACCGTATGCCTTGTCCTACTATCAATACAATGCCTCTTGATCCTGATTACGACGAGGACGCTAACGAGGACGAATACGACCTTGTGGAGGCAGAGGATATGGACAACGATGCAGAGGAGAGTGATAAGAAGTATCTGGCATGCATCATGCAGATGGCCATGCATGCTATGCGCACGGTCATTACAGTCCTCAACGCAACAACTACCGCGCTCGAAGCTTACTCAAACACCTACTACGACAAAGAGCCGTATCATACCTCCGCTTTGTCGGGGACTGCATGGGTCACCGAACTTCTCACTGGACACCCTGAACGCATCAGATGCGAGCTCGGGGTCCACAAGCACGTTTTCTATGTGCTCATCAATCTCCTTCGGCAAGCAGGATGCAGAGATTCCAGGCATGTACTGCTAGAAGAGCAGCTTGCTATATTTCTCTATGCGTCTGTCACGGGTCTCTCGATTCGCCATCTTGGTGAACGCTTTCAGCGGTCCAATGAAACAATATCAAAGTAAGTATATTGTTGCTGTCCTGGTATCAAGCTTATGTTCTTTCAGGTATTTTAAACAGGTTCTTTTCGCATTCTCCTCGCCACCAATATATACGACATACGTCCGCCTGCCCGACGTAGATAGCCCTCCTCCCCCCGAAATCACGAAAAACCCGAAGTTCTTCCCGTTCTTTGTTGACGCTATCGGAGCCATTGACGGTACACACATCGCATGCCATCCTTTTGGTGAAGATCGGCATGCCGCTCGGGATCGCAAGGGGAACTTCTCTCAAAACTGCCTCGCGGCATGTTCATTCAACCTTTCGTTTACCTACATGTTGAGCGGTTGGGAGGGGTCAGCTGCAGATGCTCGTGTCTATCACGATGCTCGTACTACCGATTTCAATATCCCTGAGGGAAAGTATTATCTTGCGGACGCTGGATTTGGCTCGTGCGATGAGCTTCTGGTCCCGTTTCGGGGCGTGCGTTATCATCTTGCAGAGTGGGGTCGTGCTAATACTTTGTATGATGCGTTCTGCTAGTACCATTCATACTTATGTTCACATCATTACATAGGCCTCGTAATCGCAAAGAACTTTTCAATTTGCGTCATGCAATGCTTCGAAATGCTGTTGAGCGCATTTTTGGTGTCATCAAGCGCCGATTTCGTATCCTTCTCCTCCCGCCAGAGTACAAAATGGACATTCAAGCGCGCATTCCTCCTGCCTTGTGTCTCGTGCACAACGTTATTCGAGTTCACGATCCAAACGACATGATGGACTATCGTAATGTGTTAGATGCGCACATTCTCACTGACACTGGAAACCTTGCTAACGGTCCTCCTACTGAGCACGCACGCACTCGTGCGAGCCTCCGTCGTGACCAGATTGCTAGTGAGATGTGGGAGGCCTACAACAGGGAAAGGATTCAGAGGGGGGAGCAGGCAATCATAGAACCACTAGTACTGTAGTCGCGTTAATACCATAGCCATTCGGACCCTCATCGATGACTATGATCCAAAGTATCTCCGTCAAATGATGACATTGTTGTCAGATTAAGACCGGACCCTCATCGATGACTATGATCCAAAGTATCTCCGTCAAATGATGACATTGTTGTCAGATCAAGACCGGACCCTTATCGATGACTATGATCCATAGAAATAGTGATATTGCTTTGCTACTACAAGTACAATACAAGAGAACACGACACGACAAGAATACATGTAATGCTACTTTGAATGCTGCTCTAAAAACAACCGCCGAAGACTATCTACCTCAATAGCGAGATAAATATCAATGATAGCGATGTCGGCCTGAAATTTATTCAAGATATTGAGTAGTTGTACGTCCTCTAGACCCTCACTCTGCAACTTTTTCACCGCCTTCTGCCTGCGCAAAGGGATGGGATCTACTGATCGCGCCAAGGTGTTGGAGGTGTTGGCCTCAAGAGCATTGGCCGCGCGCTCTAACGTCGTGTTAAGACCGCCAATATTAGTTCCCATATGCTGGATGGCCACAGGCATCGTCAGGCGTGCAGACTTTGCCGAGTCTCCCGATTTCGTTGAATGTGGGGGGCGGGTAACGATATCAAGCGTACTTTCGTCATCATCAATCAGCTTCCGTTTACCGGAAGCTGTTGATGATGGCGCACTAACACGGACCGACTCAAGGGAGGGTTGCTGTGCAGCGTCGAATGGAGGGAGGCTCTCTGGGGTGAGGGGGGTTGCGCGCTGGCCGCCTGAAATAGAGCCGGGGAACTCGATCCCATCGAGCGCATCTCCAAGGTCCATCATATGGACCTCGTCAAAGGAAAGGGGGGTGACTGCGCTGCTAGAAGAAGGCGAAGGAATGATGGGAGGTGGTGTCGCGATGGTGGCAAAGAACGAGTTGTTGTTACCTGGCTTGACAGGTATGAGACCTTTCAGCGCCTCATAGTGCTTCCAACCCTTGTCCCGGAGGCCTTTGGCCTTTGGATTTTTCTATTGATTCATAGTAATTAGCATTGTCGTAGTAGTTTGATGCGAATTAAAATCACTTTACCTTCACAAAGTCGGTCCACATGTTTTCGGACTCTGGAGTGATCGAAGCTCCGTGTTCCATGCTGTAAGATAGTCCGGAAGCGTTGGCCACTTTGTCGACGACGTTGAATGTACCACGGAGCTGAAACTCGATCATTAGTGAGGGTACCAAGGCTGATATAGTAGTAGTACATACCCGCCCCCATTTTGATTGACATGCTACCGCTGTTTTGCTTGCACCCGAGCAGGGGTGTTTTTCCATTTCAGCGGCAGCAGCAACCCAAAACGTGTGATCAAAGTTCATACCATCACCACCTTGTGAGCGGTTGGTGGTGACATACTGGATGAGGATGGTTTCGTCTGCTTCCGTCCACACACACCGATCTCTCGCTTCCGTTAGCTCTGCACCACCACGGGCACTTTTTCTGCCCCGAGACATCCTGTAAGAGTTGCGATGATGGATAGATTGTAGACGGGTAACGGGCATGCCTACTACTTAGTATTGATTGATTAATAAGGTTGGTCACACTGTGACCAGCACGGTCCTATGATTATGAAAGCAAAATATAGATTCTAAACCTGCGTAAACTGGCGCAAATATTGGTGGCCGAACAGACTCTAAAACAAAACAACTCATCAAGGATCCCTGGTACCAGCCAGGAACAGCTGATGATGCTTGCATTCAGTACGTCAAAGGCAACGAGATGTGTGACCGTGTACTTTTGAAGGAGGGATCACTGAAGAAATGCTGAATTCAAAACACAAGAATGAAGGAACGTACGACTTCTGCTTATGGAGACTAATTTAAATTCACATGGCAGGCTGCACTGTGCATTATGCAGGACGTGGCAAAAAAAATCACTGTTTACCGTGTACAGCGGAGATAAGTCCCCGACATGACGGTCATCTCGGTTGTGCGCATCATAGTGATGTCGGCATTTCATTGAATAGTGCCACGAGGACGACTGCCGAAAATAATGGTAACATCGTGGAACAGTCGGGAAGATCGGACTGAAACCGGTCATACGGACAAATAGACAGTAGGTAATACTTATTGAATCGGAGCAAAGCCTCACGTAGTAATCGAAGAGGAGCAGAGGGGACCAGTCCGTCCTAAAGGACGGCGTTGTAGTGGTCGCGAAACGGGATAGAGGTGCACGCAAGTGTGCTGGGAACAGAATATTTCGATCCCGCCCTCCGAGCCCATTCAGCGCTCAGCATCCGCGCGCGTCACAGGCACGTTCGGATGGTGTCCTCGCTGCGTGCAGTTGGGTAAAAGAACAGTCTTAAGCTGTCATTGAGGCTATTTTCACCACTATATAAATCATCGTGTCTGTAGTCTGTAGATGAAGTAAATAATACAATTGCACCACGAAACCGACTTCAAGTTGTATGCCCCATACTAAGTTGACTAGAATCAGGCAGTCAGCTACCCTCACGTCAGAGTATTGTAAGAAAAATCACGACTAATTGCTGCTGGTCGATGAATAAGTGAAGGAGTTGCACAATGCACGCAATGCCACGCATGAGGTTAATGCGAAGTATCACGTCAAGTCAACACATAACTTTCAGGAGCCGTGAGAGTGTCGCGCACGGGCCAGGCCAAAAAGATATATAAACCTTGCACGCAAATAATGAATTCCTTAGAACATACTCAGCTAGGATCTATTTTATAGAAACTAACTCGAGTCTCGCATGTTTACACATGCCACATTCTTCAAATCCACTCGATGACAATAGCGCTCTCTCGTTCGACAGAGAACATAGCTTCGCGTTTACGTGGGGTTTCGAGGACGTTTGGTTCTGTGCTTCGCGCGACTGCTTGCAGTTTAGTGAACCGGAGCCAGCGAGTCGAGCGTCTGTCTGATGGATTTCTATTCGTATCATACGAATTTTCTGTACACATGTATATGCATATCATTAACTTTATTTGATTTTCTGAGATATAAGGATGTTCAGGAATCGCAAAATTTAACGAAGCTCGCCCTATAGGAAATCTCCTTTTTTCGGACCTGGGGGCGTAACTGCAAATGCATCCAATTCTGTGAAGTTTGAACGAAAATAACATAGGTATCAGGGATTGCAGGTACAACTACTTATCCAGCCTCAATATAACGGTTTTGCTCTTGCGAAGCACATAACACAGCGGATATGCGAATGTGAACACCTAGAAACTCATTGATACCATAAAACCATGAGCATTGGGGTGAAATTCACGCTTAAAATATGATGATCATATACACCACCCGAGCACATAAGGGAGAGAGACCATGATGTCATATTTTGCATGTCAAAAGTCGCAGACAATGTAAATGGAGAGGAAGCAAAACATGCACATCGAGAATTATATCGCGTACGACGCCTAATCCCACCCGCTAGTAGTGGTGGGTTCTGCTCCCCATCCACCTGAAGCAGGCTCCGCTGACCAATCGGTGGTAGGTGCAGCATCTGCTGCCCAGTCGAGAGCACCTGAAACACATTGGTAAATGTAGGTATCATCCCGGCACGGCACCTGTACTCACCACCGTCTTGGGCGACAAGAGCAGGGTTGATCGAGCCTGGCTGAGGCGCGGATGGGGCATCCCACTCCGACAGGCCACCCTGGGCCTCTGGCTCGGCAGCGGCAAGCTTAGCCTGTGCTTCCTCCTGTTGTTGCCTCTCCACTTCTTCAGGGTCGCGGTAGAAGAACATGTCAACCATCACATTCCACCCATCAGGAGTGCGAGGGATCGTCCCACGGAGCCTCAACACCTCCCGTGCGAGCAACCACCAAATCAAACCAATCGAATGACGAGTCTTGTTGTTCGTGGGGATGGCAACGTCAACGAACTTGAGAGGTGCATCCGTGTCGCAAAGAGCAATGACGGGGATGTTAACATACGATGCCTCGCGAATCGCCTGGTGGTCAACGCGAGGATCGGTGACGACAATGAGACGGGGCTCTTTGAAAGAGCGGGTGATGTAGTTCGTGAAGGAACCGGGGGTGAAACGGCCGGCAATGGCTTGTGCACCAGTGTTGGCAGCAAACTTGAGGACTGCACGGTGTCCGTAGGGGCGAGCAGAGATGACACAGACGTCGTTGGGGTTCTCGACAGCGGCGATCACTCGTGCGGCAAAGACAAGCTTCTCCCAGGTCTTGCCAATGTTAAGAATGTGAATGCCTGTGCGCACAAGAATTCAAGACAGCGTAAATGGAATTTGTGCATGAGAGGCGTGAACATGACTTTGAGGGCGGACTAACCGTCAACGCGGCGCTTCCAAACATAAGGCTCCATCTGCTTATCGCAGTTTTTTGTGCCGATGTGACATTGCGCTGCCAGGAGGAGTTGAATTTCCTCGTCAGTTGCGCTGAGGACGGAGGGAAGTTTTGACGACATGATGGGCCTGGACACAGTAGTAGAGATCAGTATAATGTTCGTCGTTTGAGATGATTTCCTATATAGCCCGTATATTCCACCAATACATCCATCCACCTTCTACATAGTCAATCCACCCGATCCGCCAATGAAAACTGCGCAAATTAGAACGATGAGATGTTCAAACATACCGTAATCGTAGTTTTGTGCTGGACGTCGACTTGCTACGACGTTTGGCTGAGGGCTTTCGATTCCTTTGAGCTCGCTATGCTCCCTCGACAGTGTTTAGAGGTAGTATGTTTGGACAGTCCGCTCGGTAACTACCGCATTCTTCCCACGCCGTGTTATTGGTCACTTGTTGAATCCTGTCGCTGCTTTTCCACGAACTACGTTTCATCGTTTTCAACGTCGAGTCTAGTCTTATGGTGGTCAACTCGGACGTAAAAGGATACTCCTCGAGCCTACGAGGACCTTGACGAACATTGTATCTTCAAGACCCAGTGTCGGATTTTTACAAACGACACGCGTCAATCATTCTGAAGTGTTATAGCGCATGTAAGCCGATCAGTGTCCACGTCAGGAGTCACAACCGACTGGTCAGGACCCATCATTTCTGTCACTTCGCGAGAGAAACCCTTATAAGATGAGGTGAGTACTATCACCACCGTTACCCTCGCCAACCATGCACAGGTTCAACGAAAAAGGTTTTCTCTTAGGAGGTTAGCGATATATCCGGATGAAGGTCAACTTCCCGGAAACACGTTGGTTTTTGTCTGACTCCGGTTGGCCACTTTCTCACTGGAAGCGGACAGTCTTAAAGTCGCCGTATTCCGGTTCAGGTCCGGTTTGGGCACATCTTACCTGAACTTGAACTCGAACCTTAGCTAGGCATGCAGTTCTGGACCCGGTCCTAGACTATCGGTTCAGTGATGGACCGTTCTATGCAGTTGTGTTCAGTTTGCAACTTCGAAATTACTATTTTGAATTATGCTTCTGCGCTTCCCGCGTTGCATCATCCATCAAGCGCCTGTTCTGTGCAGTCTGCCGAGCAGCCCACTTCGTCTTTTGATGCCTCCACTCCTTCTCGTGAGTGTCCTTGACAGTTTGGATGTTACTCAAGTTCTTCGGGAGAACTTGAAGGCGAGCGAACCGTTTCGTGTCTGTGAGCGTTCACACCATATGGAAGACCCTCGAATAGGCAAAAATTGAAGTGCGATACGACTCATTGGGTGGCGAATAGCATCAAATCTAAGAAATTCACAGTGAGCGTGCAATAGTCCTATTGAGGGAGGCAAAGCAAACATAACGTCGAAGATGGAGAAGTAATTGAAGGTAAGTCAATTTTTTGTGTAGGTGAATAACTATATTCTATTGCAGGCATCTTGGAGTGAATTGTCGACACTGGCCGCACACTGGTCCATCATGTGAGAGGGAGACAAATTTACCAGGTGCCAGCGTATTGGTACTTCATATACAACTGTATGTTACCAAATATTTAACCGAGAGGCTTGTAGCTCGTAACATACATTCATTTGTCTTGTGATCGATTATGGTTGGAACAGGTTCACGATTCTGTCGATCCCGAACCCGAACAACAAGTAGTTCGGTTCGATCCGCAGAACCGAGCTGCGGCAACCTAAGATCTAATCTAAGCCTGAGTATGTTCCGAAGATGAGTCTTGGAGTGATTGCAATCTGGCACCAGTCTCTTCATGAGTAAACTTCACTTGGTACACAGTCCATATTCTGGGTAAACCATTTATGCTGGCATGTTGAAATTTGTCATTAAGAGGTAGTCGAGTGTCACTGTAGTTCCATGTTTCTAGCTCACTGGGATAAACGTACTCCAAGTTATGACTGGAGGCTGGCCAGCCGCAAGGCTCACACGACCTAGTGACAGTGTGAGCTCCACACCAATAGTAACTGAGTCTTGGCAGCAACGCCAGGAATCCGGGTGATTACCTGCCTGTGGCTGTACAATTTGAATCTATATAGTACCCTTCCACGCGACACTCCTTCAAGTTTCTCGGTTTCAACACCATCATGGTACTCTATGCACGCCACCCCCGATTTACGGTCGCCCTTCTCATATTAATTTTCATTTCGTTGGTCATGTTTGCGAGTGACTCGGCATCTTTTAGCTCAGTCCGCTCGATGGCCTTCAGCAAATCTGGGGACGCCGCGCTTGCAGAGGTCTTTGCGCTGGAAGAGACGCATTATGAAGAAATCGTGCAGCGACGACAGCAGCTCATTAAAAAATGGGGACCAACACCGGAAAAGGTTGACCCGTGAGTTCGCAAATATCTCATGGGACTCTGACGACAGTCAATTTATATTCGCCCCTTGACAGATTCCCCTCGCATGGCGAGTTTTACACGCTCTGTGAGTAATTCCGCTCATAGAAGCACGTGGCGGTGGAGCTAGGGCTCATATGTCATCGTGTTCGCAGGGGACTTCTTTCTGCCGTCATTTAGATGCCCTCATCGTGTCGAGCGTATTGGGATCATGGGTGATGGAGGTAAATGGGTCTGTGGACTAGAACGCATAGCTCCAAAACGCCAATGCAATATCTATTCTTTCGGTGCGATGATTTTTCGCCCATCGGATCATAATGATTACTGATTACTGATTAGGGGTTAATGGCGAGTCGTCTTTCGAAGCGGATCTTATGAAAGCGGCGCCTGGTTGTCAGGTTTATGGCTACGATTTCAGCGTCCGTTCCGTAAGTTTGTTCTCTCAGCGTTAGTCTACTTGAATTGACGTACCCGTTATGCAGTTCGGTCCTGAGATTGAACAAGATAGGGATTTGAAATCACGCTCTCACTTTTTCTCGTACGCACTCGGGCCTGAAGACAAGCACAGCGCAGCTGACGACCCAAAAATGTATACTCTTCGTACTCTCATGGACCGGAATGGACACGATTTCATCGATATCCTCAAAGTTGACATCGAGGGCAATGAATTTGATTCATTGTCAACGTTCATCGACTCTTTCCATGGTGAACCGCTCCCTTTTGGCCAACTTCAGCTTGAAGTGCACGTGTTCCCGGGCAGTGCTTGGAACGACTTCCCGAAGTTCCTCGGGTGGTGGGAAAAGCTGGAAGCTGCTGGCTTGAGGCCATTCTTCTCTGAGCCAAATCTTGTCTACGTAAACCTTGTCAGAGGCGTTCGTCCAGACCTTATAGAGGTGTGTATTGTTACGTCGATATCAGTGTATCTGTACTGAGGCGCTTTCAGTATTCTTTCATTAATATTCGCGGTGATCATGAGCTGGTGTCCAACCAGCCCTCCTCTCCGCGATCCGGCTAAAAAGTCTGCAGGTCGGACGGATTCTTTATTTATCAAAATCGGACATGTTGCATCGCTCCTTTATACTGTATTAAACATTTATTGCTCCTGATCATGGACAATATCAATTACGTCGATATTTACTCCGTTTTTCCCTTACTGCAGGTGCCTTAGCCTCAAACGGATCCAGAGACCACTCGTTTGTTACTATGTATATCAAATGAAGCCATCAAGCCCAAGATTTACCTCGCAGTAACGTTAGTGCTGGTGCCTTCCTGATATACCCCTAAGCAAATGCCCTGATTTAGTGAAATCCATGATGCGACTAAATTAACAATCGACAAGTTTAGTGACGGAATCCCAGTTCCGAGTCGGGGACCGCGTTCGCCTTGCGGAACAAAATACATATAAAATAGGCCAACTTCCGGCCTTGTGACTTAGTCAGACGATCCCCTTTCTCGTATTTAATCGTGATGAGTCTGAACCGCTTTCTTCTGAACGCCTTCCAAGCCAGACGGGCTCCTACTCTTCAACGCACTTTCCACTCCACGACTCTAGCCACCATGCCTCGCACCGCTGCGACAGAGAGCTTCAAGGTGAGGCAATGTAACCCTTTATTAGTAGGATGAAAACTAACTCGAGATATCGTAGTTTAACCACACCATGATTCGTATCAAGGACCCGAAGTTGTCCTTACCTTTCTACATGGATGTAAGCTATCCTGCTATGATAGTGCAGCCGGATTAACTAAGTACTACTTGTCGAGACCCTCGGCATGGACCTTGTTTCTGGTGAGATGGACTTCACATCCTCGTGTCGATGAGTATACCACGGAACATATGCAACAGAGCAAAACATGGGTGACTTCACCCTTTACTTCCTTGCCTATAATTACGACGGGATCGCCTCGCTCCCAGCTGAGCAGAAGGCTAAAGCTCGTTTCAACCGCGAGGGTAAGTAAACTTGCCTCCTATCAGGCGTTATCTCACATGCACATATGTATCAGGCATCCTCGAGCTCACTCACAACCACGGCACCGAGTCCGACCCAAACTTCCAAGGCTATGCCAATGGCAATTCCGAACCTGGTAGGGGTTTTGGCCACATCGCTATCACCGTGAACAATATCGAGGAGGCATGTGCACGTTTTGAAAGCCTCGGGGTTCCCTTCAAGAAGCGTCTCACCGATGGTAAGATGAGGCACATTGCCTTCATCTTGGATCCCGATGGGTGTGTTTTTCTACTGATGTCCTTGACATCGTTTCGCTCACTGTGATGCCTTAGCTACTGGGTGGAGGTTGTTCCTCAGTCCTTGAGCTTGTAGAGAACGCTGTTGGACGAATTGAAGCACTGGTAGTCGAGTTGATAAATTCAAGTTGTATCCCTAGCACTCATCTTGAAAGTATGTGTCCATAGACTTTCAAATCACGCCTTGGAGTTGCATACTATCGGCGATCGATAAGTATCCAAAGGCAACTCATCACAGTGCGGTGTTCGACTCTGCTTGTCCAAGACCGCTGGGCGGACAAGGAGTTTCGAACCTGAAATTTGAAGGCTCACGACTACGCCCCTGACAGTACCTAGTAGATTCCAGAATCATCATCGATCATGCTCCCTCGATAAGGCCCATCAGCATCTGAGGAACGTGAGTATCAGAGCACGGGATACTAGTAAAGAATCCTGCGAATGCATCTTCTAAGCTGCATCAATCATTGCCTCCCTCGGCTCCAACTTGGTCAGAAACTCGACTCATTGTCGCCAAGGCTCGCTGGCGGAATTCTGAGAAATTCTGGTTGCATAGGGTTGGGCGCATGTTACTGTCGGTAGGAGGATCGTAGCGACCAAGGTCCAAAATGCAATTTGCCACGGGACTCCGTCCGATACCTTCAGGTGAAGTGATTGAGCCAGCCTGGCACTTGAACGAAGTGGTCAGGCGGCATGTCTGCAGTGTCCTGTACGTGAGCACCTGCCACCGCGATCATAATGCATTGAATCAGTTGGCAGTCGATCGTCTATGGCGATTCAGCAGGAGTAAGAGTCACTGACGCTGCGTCGTAGGCTGATCTACACGGTAATGGTATTCACTGTGTCCTTATCTAGCACTCCCCAATCGAACGAAAATTACTCCACTCTACCACGTTTTCCTGACAGTGCGTTGATCAACTCTACAAATCACCAGTAACTCGTACGTCAGTGCCAAAGGCCATGCTGCACCGATGTGAAAGCGGAAACATGATTCATTCCTGTAAGTTCAATTGACTGCGCAACAAGAACTTGGTGCGAAATGCAAGTTCGAAGGGGAACGATAGATCGAGATGAAAATATGACAGAGAGATGTGTAAACTTTATACCGGCTAATTTGACCTCGCGGATGGCCACTGCAAATTGGCAGTATCGATTTGGCCTCAAACCACACTACCCGCCGTGCAGGTGTGTCATGTCATCAAAATCCAGGATACTCGCGTCATGTTAATGTCTTTCCTGCAATTTGTAGGCCGAAGGTCCTCTGCACCAGTGTCGACAGGCGTGGCAGAGATGTAGCAACGACGGCGAGGATAGTTGCAGAGGAGAAACGCATTGTTTGTGACTCTCGTGATAGGGTCAGATAGTTCTGAAGGAGATAGTAGGACGGCTTGTTTTTAGTGTGTGCTGAATCAAGAGGTACCCGCTCGGGAAAAATGTACAGGAGGCAACTACTGCAAAACCAATCTCCCTCGGGGGCTACCGAATAAACACATTCGAATGAAGCTGTTGGAAAGGAAGCAGCTGCGGTGATAGAAGAACGTTGAAATAAGACAAAGTACACGGGGGTTGCGGTCGAAGACTCGAAACTGCAACTGCCAACACTCAATTGTGTGACTGCCTTATTTGGAGCATGTCAACACCAAGTGACACATGTCGGCATGGTTTTTATGATCAAATTGTTGTCAATGTTGATGTGGTGCTAGAATCTAGATTCAATAGTACTATGTAAAAGCCATAACATTTCGATGTGCCCCAATCGCTTGCATAATGGGCTCTGTTCTTGGACGCTCCTTGCGTCAACACTCGCTGTTGCACATGTCTTTGCCCTCTCTGAGCTACAGTGGACGATCAAGAACAAGAATTGTTCTATTGTCATACCCGGCTCCTACCCTCACAGGCTCACCTTGATCTTTTCGAGGCTGGTATCATTGATGACCCATTGCTTGGTATCACGGTATGTTGTGCAACGTATCAATCAATTATTCTGTCGTTCATTCGTCGCGAGTTCACAGAAAGATTGGTCATCAACGACAACTGGACGTACACCGCGGACTTGACTCCATTCACTCAAACTTACCAGAGTAACACGTCCGGAAAGACACTCCTTATTTTCTATGGAATCGACACCATTGCTAACATTGTCTGTGGTGATGTTCACGTATAAATTTATTTGTGCATTAACACCGATGACCTAGACGTTTGCCGGCCACCCCGTGGCTTGGGTCAACAACCAGTTCCGGCGTACACCTA